ATTTAAGGTCGGAATAGACTAAAAGGCTCAATAGGAAAGAATTCTCTTTTTTGGTCTTCAATCTAGGACATTAGTTTTTTCTGTCTTTGATCTTTGGACTCAGACTGGAACTTACAGCATCAGCTCTCCTGGTTCTCAGGCATTTAGACTTAGACTGAAACTATACCATTGGTTCTCATGGGTCTGGAATGCTCAACCTCCATATCATATGGACCAATTCTGTATAATACATCTCTTTATCTATCTATCTTTCTATCTATCCACCCACATATTTTCTATTGGTTCTGTTTCTCTGAAGAGCCCTACTAATACAATCCCCAAAGACAGTGTCCTCTGCTGATGTCTGGGTTATGCCTCTAGTTTGTGCTTATTTTGCTCTGCCTTGCACTGTCATTAGTTTGTTATGTATCTGTCTCCCCTACTAGACTGTGAGCTTCTATATCAGGCATATTAACATTTTTGGTGCCATGGACTCCCCTGGCAGTCTGGTGAAGCTGCTGTATCCCTTCTCAGAATTGCTTTTTTTCCTCTGCATATTATGCAATATACAGATTTATAAAGGAAACAAATTATACTGAAATATAGTTATTAAAATATTAAAAATGGAAAATTGTGCTACAATAATAAGTGCTTTATTTACACATTAAATAGCAAAATCCTGGGGCAGGTCTAAAAAGTACCATAATTTTGAAGTACTGATAAGCATAACTGATGTTTTAAGATATTTTATTCATCTTTAATGTGACAATGACAATTTGTGACTTCTCTGATTACAAAGTTACAGGTTCATAGTACAGTAGCCCCCCCTTATCTGTGATTTCTCTTTCTGCAGTTTCCGTTACCTGTAGTCAACCATAGTCTGACGATATTAAATAGATAATTCTAGAAATAAACAATTCATAAGTTTCAAATTGTGAGTTGTTCTGAGTACAGTTATGAAATCTCATGCTGTATCATTCTACCCTGCCAGGATGTGAATCCTCCCTTTGTCCATGATGTAAACACTATCTGTTCGTTAGTCACTTTAATAGCCCTCTAGGTTATCAGATTGGAAAAAAAATATTATATAGGGTTCAGTACTACCTGTGCTTTCAGGCATCCACTGTGGGTCTTGGAATGTGTCCAATGAATAAGAAGGGGACTACTGTACTATGGTGTATTGTCTACTACATTCATAATTGAAGAAGATGCTAAAGTTCAGTTAAGGCTGATAAAAATAGACATACAAATTTTCCCCCAATTCAAGTACACAGAGCCCCTGAATTCTATGCCAGGAATCCAAGGGTTCATCTTTTCTTTTATATAATCCTGCCTTTCCCTCAGAGTCCAGCATAGTATATAGCATAAAGCAGATGATAAAAAAAAAAAGTTTGCAGAATTTAATTGTCATGCAGACATGCTGGGCCAAAGTTAAGCCACCCTGAACTGATTTAGGTTGTATTTAAACTCATAACAAAAGGAGGGAGATTTAAAGGAGGATAAATAGAGAAAATGAACAAAAAATCATTCTATCTGACCACAATGCTTAAGCCTGGTCTATAGCGTCTCACATTTTTCTTTACCAATATATAAACTTCAATGATTGTGATAAAAGATTGTTGGGAAGATCTTAAATTGTAAATCAAATAAACTCTAAATCCTTTACTTTAATTCTCACCACCAAAACTTATTATATTTATATATTCCCTTGAAACTATGTTAAATTGCAATAGCTTCAGTAATATAAGCTTTATAGTGTTTCGGGTTTGGTTTTCCAGAAGCTAATTCTGCAATATAGGTTTATGTGCACGCACACCTCTTATGAAGTGCTCTCAGGAGAAATCTGCAACAGAGTAGGAGAATCAGGAGATGACAGGGGAGAGGAGCTAAGCAAGGGTGTGATTTTTAAGTGAAGTCAAGCTTCAGAAAGATCTCACAGGGAGCTCCGGAACTTAAGTCACATTGCAGTTTGTCATACCTTGAGGCAAGGGGTTCCTGTACCTGTCAGCTATTGGCTTTGGGCTACCCAATTTAAACTCAAGTTTACTTGGCACTTGTGGCTCTCTAACTATATGGAAAATTCCAGTCACAGAAAGGTAATGCTTTAATGAAAATAGAAGGTGCAAGTCCTAAGAAGTAAAGCACATAGAAACTAGGAAATGAGAAGGACCCCAGGGGATCTGAGTGCAGCACTGACAGCGTTCACTACAACTAGTAAATCAGGGGCAACACAAACCAACAAGAGGGCTAATAATTATAGCCAGCAATTACTGAGTGCTTCCTCTATGCCAGAAATGCTCTAAGCTCTTTATAATATTAGCTCATTTTTTTTTTTTTGAGACAGAGTCTCGCTTTGTTGCCCAGGCTAGAGTGAGTGCCGTGGTGTCAGCCTAGCTCACAGCAACCTCAAACTCCTGGGCTCAAGCAATCCTCCTGCCTCAGCCTCCCAAGTAGCTGAGACTACAGGCATGTGCCACCATGCCCGGCTAATTTTATATATATATATATATATTAGTTGGCCAATTAATTTCATTCTATTTTTATAGTAGAGACAGGGTCTCGCTCAGGCTGGTTTTGAACTCCTGACCTTGAGCAATCCGCCTGCCTCGGCCTCCCAGAGTGCTAGGATTACAAGCATGAGCCACCACGCCCGGCCAATATTAGCTCATTTAATCTTCACAACAACCTTATGAGGGGGCTAATATTATTCCTATTTTGTAAAATGAGAAAACTAGATTTATCTATGGAAGCACCTTGTCTAAAGTGACACAAAGATTTCATGGTGCAACTAAGATTTGAACTCTGGAAGTGTGATTCAATAGACTACACTCTAAACACCAGGCCACCCACTTTAGCATGATGTCTCAATACAAAATGTTGTTAAGAGTGGAAGAGCTTGAGTCATCTGGCCTGAGCTCATATCTCGGGAGCTCAGACAAAACGAGACAAAACATCTAATGCAGTCAGTGCTGAACTAACAATAAATATTATCCACTTGTTAGAAAGAAGAGAGCAAGACATAGCTTTAAAAAAATCTATGCTCTATTAAAGTATCTCTTGGGTCTACAAAAGCCTTTCTTCTGCTATTCTCCAAAAAGTTTAAAGAGCCAAGAAATCAATGACTTGACAGCTCTGTTGTATATTATACCATTTGGCTGAATTTATTTATAGGGAATAAGGAAAGAAGACAAGGGAAGAAAAATAAAAAGAGAAAAATGAAGACAGAGTATAATAATTATTACTAAAAGTTATTGATAATGACAGAAACAAATATTCCGAGAAAAGCCCTATTCATTGTACTTCATTCAGTGTTTTGGGGATCTCGTTATTAAATTTTTCCTTCCTAAAGAGAGTGATTTTTAATTCCTTTGAGAATGTCATCAATTACTAGTTAATATGCCATCTCCTATAAACAACATAATTTTTGCAGTGCATTAGACAATTTAGCCACTTTTTATGACTGGACTACTAATGCCAAAATATTTCTGATTTCTTTAAAATTATTAACTGCATTTAGTTATTACCCGAATTCTAGGCATAGAAAAAGGTTTTCATCAAAAACATTGTTTCTTGGATAGGTGCGGTGGCTGACACCTATAATCCTAGCACTCTGGGGGACGAAGGTGGGAGGATTGCTTGAGGCAAGGAATTCCAGATCAGCCTGAGCAACATAGCCAGACCCCTCCTCTTCAAAAAACAGAAAAATTAGCCGGGCATGGTGGTGCATGCCTGTAGTTCCAGCTACTGGGGAGGTGGAGGCAGGAGGATCACTTGAGCCCAGGAGTTTGAGGTTGCTGTGAGCTAGGCTGACGCCATGGCACTCTAGCCCAGGTAACAGAGTGAGACTCTGTCTCAAAGAAACATCTCCCTGCCCCCCAAAAAACCCAAACCCTTTGTTCCTTCAAGATTGGTTGAATATCTTGGAAAATGAGCTCTTTCCAATGAAATAATTATCAATAAAGAATATTCCAATGTATTTTCAATTCTAAGGATCCTAGTTGTTTCAGGAACATTGAAGATTTTTGCACCATGTGAAAATAATCTGCTTTCTCCTCACGGAAATAAATATAATATTCTGAGTGTGGTTTCCAGAGCCATAGACGACACAAAAGCCACGCGTTGCATACTTGGCAGTGACTCGGGCAAGAACTCTGTTTATTTCAGCTCCTTTCTTCTGGGGTGAGATGTAATAACCAAATATATTTAAAAACCAGGGCAGTACAGGCAGCAACCAATCACAATGGATGTTCCAACTAACCAATCAGAACAATGATATGACTCTTTAGAGCAAATGGCACAACCAATCAGAATGGATGCTTACTGAAACATAGGTGAGGTTGTATCCCAGAACCAGGTAAGTATAAGCCCTCCCTGCAATGGATATAAAACTCACTGTTCTCTTATCACTCAATTTTCTTCACATAGAAACTTATTTCAAGACATTTAAGTGATTTCTGGTGTACCATGGAACTCTTCACTCTCCAGATCCCTTACTCCTCAGCTATGGTGGAGGCAAATCACCAGTAAGACTGATTTTAGAAAAGCATTACAAATAGATACTAGCTAACATTTATTGAACACTCAGGTGCCAGGCACTGCACAGGTATTATCATCCTTAATCTTTCAACAATCCTATGGGGCGGGTACTATTATTATCCTTGTTTTACTGATGAGGAAACCAAGGCATAGGGAGGTTGAGTAGCTTGATCAAAATCACACAACTAATGCATGCCAGAGCTGGTACTTAAACTTGGGTAGTCCTTCCTCTAAAGTACTAGCTATGATATTATTAGCAAATGAGTGGTCTCATCAACACCATATTAGCTTAATTCTATCCTCCTGTCTGGCTAAAAGGTGAAGTGACAAAGATGTTTTCTAATATTTGGGCTACTGCTGGGAACCCATGAAGTCCCTGAGCAACATCTGTCTCCAGTTTGGTTGCCTTTGTCTTATTTCTGATCTAAATTGCTTCAAACAAACAGAAAGCAGTCAAGGAAGGCTGAAAAATAAAAGAATGTTACCTTATTCTCTTGTCTTCCACTTTTTTCAAATATTCATCTCTCTTTAGGACTCCCAGGATCATTTCCTTCTCATGATCTAATAAAAATGACAGATTGATGAATTCCGAGTTCTTAGACATGGTATTTCAACAGCAGCTCTAAGTAGCGGTGGTTGATCAATTCAGAAGGTGAATTGATAGCTACAATTGCTAAGGGTCCCCCTAACCAACCCAGAGTCACTCAGCTGTTTGGTGCAAAGTGTTTTTTATATGGTCGCTGCAGAATTGCTGGTGGTGGTGAGGTATTCTTTCAGGCTATACAGAAAACAGGATCCACTGGGATTACGCTCCAAAAAAGTCATTATTGTTTTAACTGAACAAGATCTCCAAAGCCTTTTGCTATGGTGTGCAGTCAGGCAGCAGCTGGCTTTCACTAATGATGCTCAACTTCAATCCTTCAGAAAGCTACAGAGCAGGAATCAGATCCACTGGGATAGAATGCAGAAAACACTGAAAAGGTGGAGAAAACAAAGGAGAGAAAAGTTAATTAGGCCACTTTTATCATAGCACTTGTAAAATTCCCTAATTTTTGAAATATTGATGTACCTAACTCAAAAACGTATTTTTTAAATTAGTAAACCCACATTTGTTAAGTATTCATTTTGTGGTTTTTCTTTACCATGAAATGTTATTTATAGTTGATTCCTGGTTCTCTATGTAAATTTAGATTCCTCCATTATAATTAGCTTCCTCTGTTAGCCAGATACTACTACCACTTTTGCAGCTGATCCATGGGTGAGTTGGGTCACCACTTTGGGATACTAATTGCACAATGTGGATTGTCCACAACAGGTCAGAGCCCTTAAGTGACTCTCTCCATCTCTTTCCCTTCTTCCTCCTCACCACTAGGACTATAGCATAAAAAGCATGGCTGGTTAAACAAATAAGAACCAATGCTACATGTATCAACATAAAGATATCTCACAAACAATGCTGAATGAAAAAGTTAAGTTACAGAAGAATTCATGAAGAATGATAGCATATATATGAAGGATATAACTTTCAAAAAATATTATATCTAATTTACAAATACATCTATAGTAGAAATATAGGCAAATTCATGGGAAATTCAAGATCATGATTACCTCTAGGGTATAAAGAGAGACAATTAGAGAGGAGAACACAGGGGTGTCAACTGTATTGGGTAATGTTTTACTCTTAAGATGGATGTTTATATCACATGATGTGCATGTTTTTGTGAATTATTCCAGGTATGCATTATATACTGCAAATTAGATGTTTTAGAGCTACTCCCTTGTCAACATAAGATTCTCATCAGGTCATGTCCCTCATTCTAACTCTTAAGCACATTCTTTTATTGATTTGGTACCTGGATTCTCTCTAGACAGCCCCTTAAGAATGATGACTCTTAGAATGATCTACTGGGTTTTTGTTACTGGGCATCATCCCATGATACTATCCCTCAGCTTCCTCCCAGGTCTATGAACTGCAGTCTACATGCAAATTACACTTGGTTTGCTTGACTCTAGTCAGGCTTCCAGGCATAACTAGATACATACTGAAAGGCTGCTTTGGGGCCTCCTGGTAACCATAAAGTCAGGCTGATCTCAAAATCTCAGAAGATATGAAAGGACAGGTTCTTGTCCAGAGCCTCCTCAACTTTCCAAAGCCCTCAGGTATTTATTCTGTACAGTGTACACCAAACCACAACTTTGCTGAAATGACTCAGAATTGAACCGCATCCTACACACAAGAGCTAACCCTTTCCGAGGAAAGTGCCCAGGTGATTGCAGATTCTCTGGATTTACTCCAGGCCTTATCCTCATCTCTAAAGCCCTAGAGGCAGCAGGGATCAGAAGGCCCCAAGATTGAAAAGAACAGAAAACAACCAGGTTAAGAGCAAAAGGGCTCTTCAGAAAGGTTAATGGTTTGGTTTTTGCATTACTGTCAACTGCAGTCTCTTCAGATAAAGAACACAGTTGTTTTTTCCACCATTTGTGTGTCTCATCTGGTTTTATGCTGAAATGGAAAAAATAATTGGAAACTCAGTGAATGACTATGTTATCATTATAGCCGGGTTCATTGAAGACATATTTTGTATTTGAAATGTCAGATTTAGAATGTTCTACACGAATTTCTACATTTCTACATTTCTGTAGAAATGTATTTAGAAATTATTTGAGAGATTGGGAGATATAAAAATGCTTGACCTGAAGCTTATGGGTTGTAAATACAAGTCTGCCTTGCAAAAATCCAAGTGTCTGCCCTATGAGGAGAGTAAAGAGAGGGAAATAACACTATGGGTAGCACATGAAGGTAACAGAGAAAATGTGAAATCAAGCAAGGATATAAGAGAAATAAAATTTCCCATTGAGAGCTTAATTAACCAAATTAGCCTTAAATGGATTTTCACCCATCTGTACCTGGACTAACAGACTAATAGTACCTGGACTACTGTATAAATGGGTGGCCAAGGATATCAGAACTAGGCAAAACTCTATCAAGTAAATCAGGATGTTTCCTGAAGAAGGCAGGATTAGATTCTGATTATAATTTAGTAAAACTGAATCTAATTGAGGATGATATAGTTCTTCTGGAGAAATATAGAGTGGAAAAAAGTAGACAGCCTAGGCATAGACAAGGGAAATCTAAGGAGCTAGATGCTGATGGTGCCCATCCAGACTCCAACCAGAGAAATTAATGAAAATGAAAATCACTTGTTTGTTCTCTGTAGCACATGTTTCATGCTGGGTGATGGAACCTTGGTCTGGCAAATTTTCATGCAATTAATCATTCAAATCATGCAACTAATTCCCCTTTTCTTTTGATTTCACTTCCTCCCAGACACTTCTGATTGTAAGTTGGTCTCACATAGAGTTCTCCTTTCAGGAGTGAATGTTCTCATTTTGCCTACAGAGCCCTCCACATTTGGTTTAGTTTCAATCCATGTCAGATCTGTTTGCTGTGTGCTGACAAAATCAAATTTCACTGAGGGCCAGCATCTGGGCTATGTGATGAATTTACCTAAGGATGTACTATCACTTGCTGCCTCTCTTCAGCTAGTTCATAGCCCCACTTAAAGATTTCCATACCCATTACACACACACTTTAATCAAGTGGAAAAAAAATGAATAGTTGATCCTCATTCTTTTAGCTAAATGTGCCCAATAAAACACTAGACAGATTTAAAGGGTGAAATTCATTTTTATTTTGTTCTTTAACTCCTTAACTTAAAAATATCTCTCTTTAAACATTTTGGATGTGGAATTTTTTCCCTCTCTGGCCAGTAGCCTTGCTGAACTAGAAACTATTTAGAAAGATGACAAGATGGGTTAAATATCATTCTGATGCCTATAAGCATAGCTTTAGACAGGTCATTAACCTGTGATTATCAAAAAGATGCAGCAATCAAAAATCCTCACAGGCCGGGCGCGGTGGCTCACACTTGAATCCTAGCACTCTGGGAGGCCAAGGCGGGCAGATTGCTCGAGATCAGGAGTTCGAAACCGGCCTGAGCAAGAGCAAGACCCCATCTCTACTATAAATAGAAAGAAATTAATTGGCCAACTAATATATATATAGAAAAAATTAGCCGGGCATGGTGGCACTTGCCTGTAGTCCCAGCTACTCGGGAGGCTGAGGCAGGAGGATTGCTTGAGCCCAGGAGATTGAGGTTGCTGTGAGCTAGGCTGATGCCACGGTACTCACTCTAGCCTGGACAACAAAGCGAGACTCTGTCTCAAAAAAAAAAAAAATCCTCACAGCATCACACAAAGTTTAGAAAGCATCTGTTTTGAGTAACACACACTTAAAAATAGTAGGGGTCAATATTTGGGTCAAAGGAAAGGGTATATCTGAATATATCTCATTACTGGGTACTTGAAATGCAGCTTTAAAAATAGAATGTTTCTGGGAGTGCTCTTAGGATGAAATTAATAAAAATAAAGTTAATTTCCTGTTTGACTTTTACTGTGAGACAACACAACAGTTAGATGGATTTTCAGCATATCTAGAGGGATGTTTAGGATGCTTAGAATATAAGCTAAATAACATATGCAGCATTCACTTAAGGGTGCCTTTCAAATAGATGTGCAATCATCCCATAGGGCAGCTGTAATTGGAGTACCACACACAAGAATCCGTGATTGTCAAAAGGCGAGAACTGCTATAGAGGCAAAGATGCTGCTATGGAGAGAGAGAAAAAATTGTATTTTACTATGAATATGAACCCCAAGCTCAAAGACTCAGGGGCAGATACTATGAAATTGCAGGCATTTGTTTTCAAGAGAGCAGTTTGTTCTCATATGGGCAAATCTGTATGGTACATTATGTGGGAGAGCAGTAGCCAAGGTTTTTTTTAAAAAAATTCACAATGATATTGACTTTCCAAACAATAACAGGAAGGCCAACTAACAGTGCCATCAATCTTATATTGATGCTTCAAGAGTAACATTCCACAGTAATAACAGCTAACATTTTCCCAATGAATCCTTATGGCTCCGTCACGAAATAAATTCTATTATCCCTATTTTATAGATGAGAAAACTGAGGCATAGAGAAGTTAAATAACTTGCCCGAGGTCAAGCAGTCAATTCAGAGCAGTCTGGTATCAGGGACCCTGCTTGTAACCACATTTGACTGGCTCTCGGTGCCTCCACGGAAAACCAGTATCCCACAAGATGTTATTAGACATTCCATTTAGTTTTTAAAAGTTCTGTAGTCCAACCAGAAATCTGGATATGTAGAGTTAAACCAAATTAGGTATTGTTTTCTTCTGTGGAGCTTCCATTGTGAATTTTCACAGAACCCTCAGTTTGGAAAAAGATATTTAGCGTCATTAGTTCTTATCTTGGCATCATGTATTTCGACACTTTTAAAGAGAAAACTATTTCTACCTTTAAAAAGCTGGTTAGAAGAAAGCCTTAATAACAAATTCACGAGAAAGATTTGAATGAAAAATTAGAAGATACATTTACATTATAGCATAATTATCAATAGTGGGAATTTGGAAATAGCCTAAAGTTACAGCAATACCATGGTGCAATTTTAAAATAAAGTATTTAAAAATATATTGATATGGAAAATATCTAAGCTACATTGTTAGTTGTGAATAGGAAGATAGTTATGCTTTTATGCTTTCAAATGCATATTCACTTAATGCAATGCAATAGATATATGCGTATATAACTCATGTAAATACATATACAAAGACAGAGAATGATACATACTGATCTGTGAATCAGGTCACATACAGAGATTGGGGTTGGATCGTCAAGAGTTAGAGAAGGGATGAAAAGGGGGGCTTATTTTCATATTGTTCATTATTTTGTACATGTTCATATAAACAAGCTATAATGAGTGAAGTTAGAAGAAAAAAAGAGAAAGAGGCCAAAAATAATTTTAAGAATTGGATCCTAGAAGAATCCAGGTGGTCCTGCCACCAATAGGGAAGTTGGGGGATGTGCTGGCTATGGTGGGCAATAATGAAT